AAACAAAAGCAAGCCTGCCTGCCTTCTTTGTTTCCCTTTTATACCATTGTGGTAACAATCCTCCTTAGGGTGAGTCTTCCACACCCAGAACTATGCTTAGTCAATTTAGTGGGTGTTTCTTACTCAAACTGAAACAATCAGTTAACCATCACATCATCCTTATAGTTTTATGACTGGTACCCTTGTACAGAGTATATAAGAGTATATGTCCTGGAACATATTTTCTGGGCTACTGTTTGCTTTTTTGGTAATATTATAATTGTGAGTTGGAAAAAAATCCTTGGTTTTTAGCACTTGTGACCCAGTACAAAGCTTTGCTCCAGGTCGTTTAAGTAAAGTAGCTTTCTCTGTTTTACCATTTCACCCAGGCTGATAATTGTTAATTGCCCCTTAAAAAAAACATAAAAATGGTGGTGTGGTGGTGAGCGGTTGATTGAATGATAATTTCTTTAATTTTCTCCCTAAACATAAGAAATCTAAACACTGAGTTATTTTAAAAAATCAATTATAAACTGAAAAGATTGTGGGAATCTTTCCTCAATTTCATCCAAATTCTGGATAACAGCTAATAGAAAGAGAAGAACAGGACATTCAGGTGGCGATACTTTTTTCCCTGGTGAATTCTGTTGTCAAGCAAGATGGTGGTATCTATAGCTGTCATCTCAAACAGTGACAAGTGATGTGCTCTAGGATCTCATTAGGAGGAAACTGTTAGGAAATAACCTGTCAGTGTCACCTAGGAAGTGGTAAAACTACATTGTGATAGCCAAGAGATGATTCCACTCTAATTCAAGATCTGCTATCAACTCAAATCTGCATGAAGAAAGGAAAGAGAGAAAAGGGTAGAAGCAGTAACAAAAAAGCAAAGTTCCAAAGCCTTTGGATTTTTGCACTTTAACTCAGCTAACATGTCAGTAAGCACTCTATTACAAAGTATAAAATACTCTAGCTTTTTTTCTTTTTCTTCTTTTTCTGGTACTGGGGTTTGAACTCAGGACCTTTCACTTGTGAGGCAGACGTGGCACCACTGAGCTAAATCCCCAGCCCTACTCTAGCTTTATTATGCTCAACTTTTGCCCTCTGAATTCTTTAACATGGATAGTTGATTTAAAGGTAAAAAATATGGACAACTTACTGGGAAATCATAAAGATGTTTCTCTCTTCTTTAATGCTACCTATGTGTTTTCATTTGCCTACTTACTTGATTGGCTATTTCAAAATTAAAGTGAAGCCATTAATGAAAAAGCCACAAATGTGGATTATTGAATATATAAAATTATATTGACATGGACTTTAAATTGTAGAAGGGCTGTTGAACCTTATAATGATGCTATGAAGGAGGGTGGGCAGGTATGAGTCTTTCTCTGGCTTCTTCTGGTTGAGGGAAGCAGGACACACATAAGTTGTGTATGCCACAGACCACCTCTCCACAGGGGTGCATGACAGGGCCAGGGCAGAGAGGTACCAGAAGGCTAACCATGTGCTAGATGAGTGCTTCTCTGAATATAATCAGAGAACCTGTGAGTCTTCAAGACACTTGCAGGGGTTTTGCCAAGTCAGAGCTGTTTGCAGAATAATATAAAGATGTTGTCTTGCTTTTTGGCTTTCATCTCACAGGTATACAGTAGGATTTTCCAAAGACTTCATGATGTGTTAAGATATCATCATGCTAATGCTAACATTTGAGGACATATGTGCAAGCATACAATAAAAATTTTTCAGTTTTAACCTTAGTAAGGTAAACACTGAGGCATAAAATCTGCATAAATGGAATAAATTGAAGATTTTAAAAGGATCCAGAGACAAAATGTTCGAGGAGTACTGGTTTAGATATTTTATGTGCCCCCATTTAATGCCAGAAATGTACCTATGAAGCAAGTGTATTAATCCCAATGAGCACAGGAAGACATGAAGGTGTGGAGAAACTTGTGACTTGCGTGAAGTCACAAGAGTAGTAACTGCAAAGCCAGAACTGGAGCCCAGATTTTGAGTCCTTGGCTCCCTTGTCATCAGGCATGTGGTCTCTCAGAGAGGCACCTGGACATACCCAGGTTTGGACACTTGACTTCTCAGAAGCAGAATTCTCATCATCCAGGGAATATCAGTGAGAAGGTTGTCCTCATAGACAGTGTAAAACAGAGACCACACGCTTACAATCTCTGAGCTGATTCCAGTCCCAGATATATTTGATGGGTTTTACACTATGTGAACAATAAAACAATTGAGTTTTCTTTTTAATTTAAAGGACTTTAAAAAAGAAGTTCATTTTGCCCTTAAAAATGTGGGAGATTTAGATGGACTGGACTGGAATACCCACATAGCCAAAGTCGGCTTCAGTTATATCTGCTGCTCCTTTCAGATGAGGGTTGCATCTTCTACTTTGCCACAGACCTCATTGCTACCTGTTACCTTATCCTGCAGTTCATGGCCCTCATTTATGTTAGCTGCTTGGGTTGGAAATAGTGGGTGACCCTCTGGCTACTGCATAGTGTTTATAAACCATCTGCCTTTAACTTATTTGAAAACTAAAAAAGCACTGATAACAAAAGCGCGGAATGTACTCTCCTCTGCTTACTGAAACCTAGATACGGAAAAGAGCACAGTGACAGTGCTAGGGAAAAAGCAAGTCACTTTTCTCCTCTATACAGAAGCATAGAATTCTGATTCATTAAAAAGAAGACTCTAACAGTGAATTAACTTTTATTTTTAAATGTGTAGCCCTTTCCTTTTTAAGTGTAATAGTGAAATAAGCACATTATGCGCATTGCCCTCATTTTATGTTTATTTTGGTAATGTCTATTGTCCTCATTATCATGTCTGGACCCTTTATGAATCTTAAAATGTCTCTGTGAACCTCTCTGTGCGTGTTAGATCCGTCATTTGAGCAAGATGAGATGGTCATCCTGATGACTTTATTATCCTTAGCATTTAGACAAAATATGAATTTCAATTTTTCATTCTTAAAACAGTCTCCCCATTTCAATGGCTGTTAAATAAATAAAAATGTATCAATTGTGTATAACATTCTTTTCTCCAGCATCAAGAATTATATTGAAAAATTTCCATTCTTCTTAATTTGAAAGTTAATTGGAAAGACATTTCCTATTTTCTATATTGCATATACATCCTCTCTCTCTCCCTCCTTCCCTTTCTTTCTCTCCCTCCCTCCCTCTCTCTTTCTGTGTGTGTGGTTTTTCATATTCTGTTTAGGGTGGCACTCCCCTCTTCCTGATGCGAGGTCAGTATCAAGTTACATGTCCACCTAGCTAAGAATAAGGTGCATGTGGAGACGAGGTTGCAAGTTGAGGCTGATGAACTTGAGAGTTCAGCATAGACTATCTGTCAACTAAAAGATGGTCCTCTTTTAGTCAAAAGTGGCAGTTACTTAGCCATTAGAAAAAAAATCTCATGTGTGACAGTAGCTTTTAGGGAATGTCTCCTCCAAAGGGGCCATCCAGCTCTTAACCTATTGCGGAAAGAGAAATACCATTGTCTATTAATACTACTGGAACTAAAGATGAATAGTGAATTGGCCTTGATCTGACAGTGAGTTTGACTGGGATAGCTCATCCCTTAAAAAGGTTCTTTTATATTTATGAAAGAAAGCATGACGTCAAGCCAGGCAGAAAAATGATATCAATATTTAAGACCAAACTCGTAGGGCTTCCAAAAAAAAAAGCCCCTTGTGAGAATGAGATTTTTACATGCATAACTAATTAGCTTAGGTTATTATAAGCAGGGCTGCTATGATAAAGTTTCCGGTGGTGTTTCAGGATACCTTGTTTATAGTGCCTTCTCTATGCCAGACAGTCTGCAAATTGGAATTACAGAAAGTAGAGGGAGGAATAGTCTACAGTTTCTCGTTGGATTGGGGCTACCTTAAGCGTTGTTATGCTGGAAATGCTAGAATATAATCACTATCAGGTGAGCTTTATTCTTATTTATAGTTGGTTTCTGAAATCTTAATGCAATAAATTGTTGAATTCACCTTTTTAGTGTTATTGTAATAAGCAAACTATTCTCTCTAAACTGTAATAAGAAAACAATTTTCTCTCAATGCAAATATCCTTATTTAATGCTGATTATTGTCTGGTGCCATAAATAATTCAGTATAATTTTGAATAAAGTAAATATTAGAATTTATTTCCCTAACATGTAGCTGTGCTGTCTCCATCAGTTCCTGTTCATAGCTCATAAAATTAAATTATGTTTATCAAGGAAAAGTGACTTTAAATTGAATGTCACTGGTTTTGAAAAAAATTTAATTTTATATTAATGTTTATAAGAAAAGAGAAAAAAATATCCCGGTGGCTTATTAACAGTCATGGCTTTAAAAACACATGCATATGAGTGTTTTGTGTTTGAAGGAAACTGCTTAATGTGAAGTTGCTTTTTCCATTAAGTTCTTTAGTAATTAAAATGTTGAATAATCATGTTCAAATGGGAGGGGGAGGAATTAATCCACGACTAGTTGATTTAAACATGGAAATGTTTCTGTTTATTTTCTACAACCATTTTACAGTTAGTTCGTAATGAATTTTTTGGTGTGTTTGTGTGTGCGCGCGCGTGCATTTTAACAGAAAGCCACAAACCCATTCTGTTTGTGAAGTGAAGTGAGATAAATCGAGTTATGTGTCTTGGAGATTGGGTTCCTATATTACTAAACCCTTTCAGGTGTGTTGGGGACATTTTTTCCCGACAGATCATTGCAAACTTTTAGTGATTAGACATGAGAAGAAGGTCACAAGGTTTGAAAGAGTTGTATAGTTAATTTTCAGGGAAATAAAAATAGGGCAAAGCATTACTCCAAATCCTGTAAGTCAGACTTTAAACTTTTCAGTAATATCAGTTACTAACTGTTAGTAACATGCCTGGTACCTAACAGAGTAGTTTATTCTGCTGGTGCACTAGTCAGTTTCAAATTTTGTACCTGAAGGAAGAATCCTCCAATATGCAAAAATAACAACACTGTCTTCTTTTCCCTCTGTGGCTATGTTCAGGTGCAGACCCACCTTGAAAACCCCACCAAGTACCACATACAGCAAGCCCAAAGGCAGCAGGTAAAGCAGTACCTTTCTACCACTTTAGCAAATAAACATGCCAACCAAGTCCTGAGCTTGCCATGTCCAAACCAGCCTGGCGATCATGTCATGCCACCGGTGCCGGGGAGCAGCGCGCCCAACAGCCCCATGGCTATGCTCACACTTAACTCCAACTGTGATAAAGAGGTAATTGATGTCTCCTCTCCTCTCCTGTTTTCTTACACTCAGTAACTGTCTGTTGATATTCCTCCTGCTTTTAACTATGGACTCTAGTTTGTCCTCCTGTCCATAGTCACCAGCCCTTGTTCCCAGTTTGCCAGTGTGGCTGCCACATTCCAGTCTCATGTCACTGTCACTGGGTTATTGGGTATATTCCACATGACAGGAGACCTGCCCTGGTCTGAGCAGAAGCTTTCTCAACTTGCTTCAACTTCATTATCAAGTCCTCCCTTCCCTTCCATGCCTTTCAGTTTAAGAAGCAGTGAAAATGCAGAGAGAGGAGAAGGGGAGGTGGAAAAGGAAAAGCAAAAATAGAAAAGGTGTGGGACAGGAGGTTTAGAAGTTCCACTTGTTGTGAAGGTCTGGAATCTTACTTTATTTCTCCTAGATTGAAAAAAGAAGAAGTATGGAATGTGTGTGGACAGATTTGAGTCTTTAACAGAGCCTTTGACAGAGAAGCAAAGGTTTAATTGCCAAATATGTTGATTTTCATAGTAAAAGTGCTGTTGCCCTTTAAATCTGCTTTGGTAAAGGCTGGATTAGAGACAAGACTCAAATAGACCTTCAGTTGTTGCAAAATCAAAATGTGGAGCATAAAAATACCTGAGAGGAGACTTGTGATTTAATGCCTATTATTTCCAAATTATGAGATGATGAGCTTCATTTTAATAGTTTTATAAAACTCTGAAATGTTTCTGAGCATTCAGAGGTGACTTTTAAAGTTCTGTTGATTTTAATCATGAGAGGAATGAAGTCTTTCCCCTATGCCCAAACCAAACACTCTTTTTCTTTGTGCATATTTGTCATCTAGCAAGATAACTTGACACAATTCCCTCCTCCATTATTCTGTCTCTTGTTCAGATTGTGCTTTGTTTGAAAGCTTGGTTCATCTTGTTGCTATGCCATCAGCCTCATGTGAACATGTCATTGAAAAATAATTTGCAAATCCATGCTATGGGCTTTCTTTGCTTATGTTTTTGCAGGGATTTTATAAATTTGAAGAGCAAAACAGGGCAGAGAGTGAGTGCCCAAGTATGAACACCCATTCACGAGCATCGTGTATGCAGGTACTGAATGACTCAGCAGCCCAAGGATGTAACACTTTGTAATGAGAATCTATATTTGTGGCTTATCACACTTTCCTGATGATTTAAGGAGGGTTTTTTTCCTCCCATTGATTTTTTTAAAAGTAGGGAACGCTATGAACAGGGCCATTTTCTTCGTAGTAGCTAAGAATAAAATGATTACTAGGGAAATCAAATGTTTTACTTCTAAGTTGTTTTGAGTCATTAAAAAGTACTTAAAATATATAAATTTTAGTAAATAAATATAAAATGCTGTATTTTATTTATATACCATGTTATGCAGATTTGTAGGATAGCAATTTTTATAGGATATTAGTAACACCAAGGTGTATGAGATCTGTATATTGTTTTATAAATCTCATAGAACATATATTCAGAAACTTTATTAGCTTAATAATATACAATGGCTATTTCCCAAGTAATTAAAATTTTTTATGACATCCTGATTAATTCATAAATTATACTATATCTAATAAATACATGGATACAAATATACAATGGAGAATAAAAGCAATAAAAATTCTCTTTCGCTTTTCTATATTTTCTGTTATTACCATGTAGAATATTTCTTGTGTTCTATATTTTCACCATCAATTTGCATTACTTTTATCAAGAGAAAAAATATTTTTAAAATATTACATTAAGCCCACTAATTGTATTTTCCTGAAGTTACAAAGGTTGTTCCTAAGTCCCTGACCTATTTTTCTACTTATTAACTCTATTCAAAAATTATTTATTAAAACAAATAAAATGGTATACCTACAAATAGAACCTAAGAGTATGCTAGCAGTTATTCAAAACTGTCTGCCAATTATTCTTCTTGGGGATCAGTTAATCCACTCTTTATTTTTAGTTTATGTAGATTACTGTATTTCTGACACAGTGAGCATGTTACAGGTTTATTTGGAAATCTCACTCATATTCACTAATGTAGTAGTATTGTTAACCCCCATTTTTTAGATTGATACATTGAGGATTTTAAAAGAGTGGAAACTTTGCCCTTAATCTCATTCACTTTTTTTCTTTGTGGTACTGGGTATAGAAACCAGGGCCCCACACATGGTGGGCAAATGCTCTGCCACTAAGCCGTGTCCCCACCCCTTGCCTTTAATCTAAAAAGTGGAAGAACCAGGACTCCCACCCAAACCCTGTAAGGTTGGAGCCTCTCCTCTTTATGGGAGGAGCAAAATGATACAGAGGAGTGTCCCTCTGTGTTCTGAGGTTTCATTAGGTACCTGTGAAGCACCCTGTAGACCCAAGCGCAGACAAACAGCTGGTATATGTAAAGTGTTTACAAAGAAATGTTTTCACAGACTTCTCTTTGCATCTGGTGCAATGCACATGTAATCACCGTTGTTTATGATCATAACTAATGTTTTGGTACTTCAGGAATAAAATTGATCTAGTGGGAATGTCAGCTCCAAGACTGTAATGATAATCTCATCCTGTGTGCTCCTTGGGGAGTGCCGTGTACATTGGCAGCTGTACAAGGAGACACTTATTTTACAAGTAACTGTGAGATCAGTACAGGCCAGCCAGTGGCATGGGATCCATTATCCACACACCCTATCGGACCAAAGAGCTTAATTACCTTCTGTTTTGTTCCTCTGGGAAGGGAATGAAAAAAAAAAAAAGGAAGTGGTAGCCGTTATTCAAGATGAAGTTTCCTGATTGTTTTCTACTTAGAGTAGGCAGTTCATGGCACTTGAGGGCATGGGTGAAATCATGGCTCCACCCCCTGCTTCACAGTGTGACTTTGGGCAAGGTGCTTCTCATTCTATCACCATACACTTTCTACAATATGGGTTTTTGTCAGAACAAATACATTAGCCCATGGAAATCCCTAGGTCCAGTGCTTGACACCTAGTAATTGCTCAAATGCTGGCTGCAAGGATCATTATCATCACCCATTAGTGTTAATGGTCTTCAGTAATAATTTTACTTTAGTGGGAAGAGAACAATTACTTTTTAGAGTCTAAGTAAAGAGTATTATTGCTTTAGGTAAGAAAGAACAATGGCTGTCTCTTTTAATGTTTCTTTATACTGTTGTTGTTTATTTCTCTCGCTTCCAGATGGATGATGTAATTGATGACATCATTAGCCTGGAATCAAGCTATAATGAAGAAATCCTGGGCTTGATGGATCCTGCCTTGCAAATGGCAAACACGGTACTATATTAATGAGGTTTTTTTAAAGAAAATCTTGGGATATTTCCAGTGCTCTCTCCTTTTTCCTCAAACTTTGTTTTTGCATCTAATTTATTGATAGATTTATTAATAATAAAACAGCAATTATTAAAGGTTCACAGATAAGTGAATTTGACATCAGAGATTAAGAATTTTTTATGAGTCTATCGAGGACCCTGTGATAAAGCTCTGTATTCCCTGGAGTCCATGTGCACTTCCTTTTGGACGTTGGGCCTTCTGATTCTCCTTGACATCTGATGCCCAACTTAGCACACCTCAGCCAAAGGGGACTCCTGTGGACTCTGCTGTTCGCAGTGGTGTTCTGATTGGCCTGGGAAAGTTACAGTTTTGCAAGGAGGAGGTGACTCTTTTAGCAGCAAAGCTTATTCCACTTTTAGTTGATGAACCAGTTAAGAACTTGTGTGTTACTTATAGTCTCTCATATGATATTCATTTTACTCTATTATTTACAGCCTTGCTTGCATTTATATTTTCCCCTACTCCTTATATTTGTCTTACATTACAGTTTTATCAGAGTCTCATTGCAAATATTACTTAGTCCTTGCAATAATTCTCAGTCAAACTGGGATGGCATCACTGCCCTCCGTTTTAGATTGTAACCAGTTAGCCTTGCTCAAGATGACATAGCCGGGCCCAGGTCTGCTCAGCAGGTGGTCCAGTGCTTTTCAGTTTCCTACTAGAAAATGCTATGAAACTTACCATATTCTCTAATAACTGGTGTTTAAAAGACTAATGTCTATTGAAAAGAAAGGGAAAAAAGGATATTGTTGTTTAATGTATAAATAGTTTCAGGTCTGCAAGATGAAAAATCCTCGAGGTCTTTTTCCCAGTATTGTGAATATATTTAACACTCTTGACACTTAAAATGGTAAAAGGGGTAATTTTATGTTGTATGTTTTTACCATAGTAAAAATTTTAAAAAGTACTAACTTCCAGTAGTAAAGTCCCTCAACCAAGAAATACTACACCCCTTACTTATTTACACTAAACTCCTCAGTAAATTGAATTTTTTTTTTAGCATTTTCTTTTCCATTGTGTTATAGTTGTTTAAGTTCACTTACTTGACTTAAAGAAAAAGCTCCTTTCAGAAGATGTAATCTATTTTCTACCCACTTAAACTCACCTCCCTGATTTTGAAAGAAACAAATGATGTGCCACCTGATAAATGTTCCTGTAGCAAACTTTCCCAACCATCTTTTTTTGTTTTGGTACCGGGGATCGAACTCTGGTCCTTATGCTTGCGCAGCAGGTGGCGAAACCACTGAGCTAAATCCCCAGCCCAATCCCAACCATCTTTGAACCTTTTGTTGGCTTCTGTGGAACCCTTGACGCATCCCATGCATGCTGTACTTGTCAGCAGCCAGGACCCTAGGATGAACACGAGCGAAACACTTGGGGGAGCGTACACTACAGAGCTTATAAATATACAAAAAGACATGGGTCTGTTTACCATGTTTTGTTTCCCAGGCAGCATGAATTAGCAAGGATCCTGTCACCTCAAAAGAACTTCGATGTGAGGGTGGTCTTTTGCCAGTGGTATCAAATGGGTAGCTGGGCATACTCAAGAGAATTATAAAGTTGACCTGATTTCATAAAAGTATTGATTTTTGTTCATGTTGCAGTGTGAGGATCATTGAAGTCATCTAATCCAAATTAGAACTAAGTACACTAATCTCCTCTTGCATAGCCTTCATAGTCCCCACAAAAAATCAAGCACCAAGTTTCTTCAAAGCCCCCGTTAAGGACTTGCACTAACTCACTAGGGAAGCAGTAAAACACAGTGTATAGGAGTTGAAGAATTGGGATCAGACCTGGTTCAAATCCAAAGCATGCCATTTATTCTGTGACCTTGCATGTTACTTAGCTTCTTTAAGTCCTGTGTTTCCTCATTTTTACCTACTGTAGTCTCACATAATACATATGGTAAGGTGTCCCTCACAGAGAGTGTCTGAATTCTAGGTCGCCAGTTTGTTAAAAACTTTTCCCCATGTCAGCACTTGTGAAAATAGTTGTCATGCCCCATGGGCTTCTCTCATTTGGAAAGATACCTGTGTCTCCTGAGTCAGTCTGCATGAGCAGAGAGGTATGGTTCCTTCATCATATGGTTGCTCTTAAACTCTTTTTAAAATGGAGTTAACATGCATTAAATTCCTGCTGTGTGAGGTCCTGTAGCTGCAAAGATAATCTGTGCTTCCTGTGACCCTAGGGTTTACCATCTACAAGAGGGGACCACATAGCCCTGAGAGGGAAAGGCTTAGTGAGGAGCAGAGAGGCAGTCTCTGAAACTCCCAGATAGGAAAGATCCCCTAGACAGAGCTGAGTTAATTCCCAGACAGCCATCCTCAGAAGTCACTTGCTATTCCAGCATCCACTATTCCTCTGTATTCCCATGTTGGAAAAGGTTTAATGTTGCCTTATCATAGTCTTCTTAGGATAAAACTTACATCATTTTTTTGCTATTAAAGGAAAGAGGTATAACAGGTAGAAGCAAAGACCCTGAACTGGACATTTGGAGAGTTATTTGACCTCTGTGCCTCAGTTTCCTTATATGTAAAATGGGGCTAATGATCACATCTACCATAATAGAATTACTGTGAAACTTATAAGAATTTGGGCCCAGGGATTTAGCGCAGGGGCACCATGCCTGCCTTGCAAGCACAAGGTCCTAACTTTGATCCCCGGTACAAAAAAAAAAAACAAAACTCTATTAGGGGATTTTCCCCTCACCTTACCAGAAAGTTAAAAGAATTAATCCACAAAAAGCATTTAGAACAGTTCCAGCCATGTTAAGCTCTCACTTCAAGTTTGTTTCTAGCTTTTATTCTTGATAAAATTATGTTTTAGTTGTTAAAATTAAATAATCCAGCTACAAAACCTGTTCACATTTTAATTTTTTCTCACAGTAGTTTTTATTGAATGTTCTTCATGGTAACCATTTCTCCCTTTTATTTGATCCTTTGAAATGCTTTATTTCAAGTTAACTGCTTAAAAAAAGTGGAAGGAACACTTAGAGAGGAAACTATCCTAAGGGAATTGAAGTCTAGAAATAACTATTTTGAGAATACAAGGGCCCTCTTGTACCATCACAAACAAAGAATAAGAGTCCCAGTTTACTTGTGTTAACAGTGCACAATTGATATTCAGAGAAGGGTACCATCCAGAGAGAAAAAAATAATAACATTTTACAGTTATCATTTACTTGGAGAAATATTCATTTTGGTGGAACAGAACACTTAAGAACGCAATTCAGATCACCAGTCCAGGCAAAGACACAGGCTCAGCCGCCTTCTCTTCTCTCTGTCCTGATTCAACTGTGCTTTTGTCCAGCCACTGCAGCTGACCTGGTGCTCTGGAAGTGAAATCTTGTCCATCAGGTTAATGTTCTAGATAAACACCAGAAAAGATACAGAACAATCATTTTTACAGAGGATATCTCCTCCTCCTTTTTTAGTTCCAAAGCTATTGTTTTGATACCACAGAATCTTTTTTCCTTTTTTTCTTTTCTTTATGCCGAAACCCAAAATTAAACCCACAATCCTTTCTTAAATATGCATTCTAAATTTATTAACTATATGTACAGTAAACATATAATCTTCCTTAAGAGTATGATTCAAAAATGTGTTCTCATCCTGGAGAAGTTTAGAATTAGGTATTTGTTCAGAGTGTATTCATTGGTGACTTAGAAGCTTGTTTTTAAAGCTAGCTGTACATATTACTTGCCTATTTAACCCTGACAAATGATTGTAATAATGCAGTTGCATGTTTTGCATTCAATTTACATATGAGACCATATATGACTTCCATTTCTACAGCTAAGGAAAAACTTTTTAAGCTTACTGCTTCAAATTTTTTAGTTACATTCTTGATTCATTGATACAAGTTTTGCTAAAATCTGAAACTCCAAAAAGAGATTAAAGCTGTGGATTTGGGAGACATTGCCAGAAGTCATAATCAGAGCAGCTTTAACTTTATAACTTTGGTCTTTCTGGCACTTTACAGTCCTGTGTTGAAACAGGTAAATGCCTTTCACTTTGTGCTAAGTTGGATGAGAAAAAAAACTGAACACACAGAGAGCAAGTTGACCCTGAGAAGATGACCTGTTTCAAATAGAACCACTTAATGAAATGACAGCTAATAATCAAGTCACTTTTTTCAGTTCCTTAACCGGAGGGACTTGAAACGTAGTCCAAGGACATTTTAAGTTTGTGCAGTACGTTTTTACTAGCATGTGTGCAGTGGGCTTGCTGCCTTTGGCAAGGAGCATAGAAGGGTGACGGGTCCTGCAGATCTGACTGTATTCCTTGCCCATCCGGATGCTGTTAGAGGCAGTGTCAGATTATCCTTTCACATAGTATTTTATTATGTGTACACTCCCCTACCCCATCTCTTCAGCTGGGCATTTAGTTCAGGGAGTATTTCTTTAGACGTGGAGAATTCTGTACCTGACCTCATGTCCCATCAAAGGCAGGTGCAGTAAAAATAGATAAAATTATCTTCAGGCTGTGTATAGAAGGTGTATTTGAAACACAACAAGTCTCATTTTTAGACATGGATATTGTTGCCAAGATACTTCTATATATATATATATATATTCCAAAATTGAAAAAAATGCAAAATCCAAAACACTTCTACCTCACTCCCCAAGCATTTCAGATAAGGAATATTCAATTGTATATTGAAGGCAATCTTTGTTAGATGTCTTTTGGGCTTTAAATGTTTTAGCCACATTGAAATGCTTTCTGAATTTACTTTTCTCACATGCAGAATAAAATTTAGACTAAATAATCAAGTGGGGGAAGGATAGATGATATAAACTCTTAATTATCTAGGTATTATAGTTACAGGGATTATTTGAATTAATCTGGAAATGGGGTTTGCAGTACAAATAGCAAGGTCTTTTAACTTTTTCTTCAGGGTTAATATTTAGAAATTTATTTCAGGACCTGAGAAGAGGAAAAATG